TGTGTGCACGAGAGACACGCGCAACATACCTTCTTAAGATATTTAAGTTCCGTATTTGTCCTTTCATTTAAAAGATCCTTTCCTTCAATTATCTGCAACATGAATCAACATGAAGCATTGACACGTGCACGTACACAAACACGTTGAAACCGATAATAACTTGAGTTGATAAGCAAACAAAATTGCGCACAACTGTCATATTAATTTGATGTAAGAAAGAAAATCCATACCTCGACAATGCAAGTTCCACAGCTACCACCCCCTCCACAGTTCATCAACTTCCCCTATTGTAACACTTACAATTAATTTGCAAAAATCACAATAATAATAAAAACTCTTAAATGCGATCTACATTTGTCCAGTTGTTTTCATCAATCAAAATTTTAAATTCTCAACTTTCAATCATCTTCTAATATAATGATTAATGCAAAATCTTAGGAAAAAAAGTTAGAATTGAAATAAAATAAAAGCATAATTAAAAAGAGAAAAAAAAAAAAGTAGATGGTGGTGGATAATTGTTGATTGGAAGGTTGTGGTGTGAAACGTACATAGGTGGCATAAAGTTCAATCTTGTTATCCAACATGATGCTCCTCATCAGCTTCTCGCCGCTAATTGCTTTCGCTTTATCCACCGGAAACTTCCCCTCGCCGTCCGGTTTAGGCTGCAAACAGTTTCCATTTCAACTTCAATTTGTAAACTAATTGTAGTAATAAATATTAGCGCACATACCGCAATGAATTCGAGCTCTATTTCGGGAGGAGATTCCGGCGAAGTTGAAACGAAAGAAACTGAGTTGGGTCGCCGGCGGCGGAAATTGTTGGTTGGATTCCGGATGCCGGCGGCGAGTGGAACCGGGGTGAATGTATTTATAGAAGCCATTTTATTTTCTGATATCGAGAGTCAAGGCATATTGAAATTGAAGAGAAAAAGTTTTACAACCACATACAAATATCTCACAATAAAATGGGATCTTGATATTATAATTTTTATAGTACTCTTTTTTTTATTTTTAATTTGAATTCTCTTATATGTATTTTTTTTTATGATAGTTATTCCTTTATTTGATTTTGAGGGAAGAGAAAGAAAGAAAAAAAATTGTTCAATTGCATTTTAAAGTATTTATTTTAACACTCAAAACTCATTTTTAAGAGGCACGTTTTAAAAGTAACGAAGAGAGACGAGTGATTTAGATTTTATTTTGAATTTTAAAATAAATAATTTTATGTCTTAATTATCCATTAACCTAAATAATAATCACATTAAGTATCTTTCATTTAAACAAAACATTTAGTTACATGAGTCATGTTTACTGTATGATAATTGAGTGATATATGTCTTTTTTTATGCATGAAATGCTATGACTAGTGCATGAGGTATGATAATGAATGATATGGGTTGGAGAAATGCATTACGATTGATGTGTGAGGAGGCATGATAGCCTATTATATGATGCATGATGTATGTAATCCTATATGATGCATGATGTATGTAATCATGAGGATGAGCATTGACATTAGGGCAAGAGCAAGATAAGTGAGAGAGACACCACATATTCACTTGTGTTTCATTTTGCCCAATTTTGATGCTCCTACTCATGACCTAACATTGAAATCGAAATGTCCAAAAAGAGGTGTATTGAAATGTTCAGAAAAAGGTGTCAGCGACAATACAAGTGTATATAGACAAAAGAGTTTTCACTTGAGGGAGAGCATTATGGACTGATACTTGAGAGAGAGTGTTGAGAATAATAAGTCAAGTATGAGTTTGAGTCTCATATTAGTTATTATTGTGAGTCTCATATTAGTTATTATTGAGTCTCATATTAGCTATTCTTTCGTTACTCTTAGAACAAGATTACAAGTATACAAGAATAACAAAATAACCTCTCTCTCTTGAAACTAGGATTTTATCTTCCTATTTTTCCTTATGCCAAGATTGAGGAACTAACATCCTATTTATAAGAGAAATAGCACACTAACCTAATGGACTTTTTAACAATTACTCATTACACGCTAACTTAGGGTAAAAACTAACTTAAACACTTGTTCTTACAAGCAACGCCCAATCCAATATGCTAACAACCTATCAATATTGACTAATACATGTTAGAACAAACTTCGACTACAACACGCATTATCTTCGACAGCAGCATGCGAACAAACTTCGACCTCATGCTTAATTCCTGTCGAACCAGAAGCTACCCTTTGACCATACTAGAGTTCGATCCAACATCTCACGAATCTCCACCTTGGATCTCACTCTACAACATCAAGGAACTATCTTTCTTCATGCAGCTTTATCAACTGCATACAGTGGAAAAACTTGCAACTGGACAACGTCTTGGTGAACATATCAGCAACATTATGATCTGTCGAAACCTTCAGCACTTGGACTTCTCCACGCTCAATTACCCCTCTGACAAAATGCAGCCTCACATTAATGTGCTTGGTTTGCTCATGATAGGCTGAATTCTTCGACAGGTGTATTGCACTTTGACTATCACATTTAACAGTGATAACTCGACCTTGAAGTTTTAGATCCTTTGCAAAACCTTCAAGCCACAATGCTTCATTCACAACTTTAGTTAGGGCAATGTACTCTGCTTTAGTGGTTGATAAGGCAACGGCCTTCTAAAGTGTTGCTTTCCAACTGATTATTGTCCCAAACATAGTGAACACATATCCATAAATAGATTTTCTGAAATCCATACAACATGCATAATCAGAGTCGACATATCCTTCAATTGCTGCTTTACTATCTTCACCCAAGGCTCCACCATAAATTAGGACTTTATTCAGCTTGCACATATAATCTTCCTTCCCTTTTTCAACATACACTTCAGGTTGCCTCATCAGGATTGTTTCATCTAAGTCACCATACAAGAAAGCAGTCTTCACATTCATCTGTTTCACTTCAAGGTCGAACTATGCCACTGTGGCAAGCAACATTTGAATGGATATGTGCTTCATAACAGGAGAGAACATATCATTTAAGTTGACACCTTCTTTCTGAGTGAACCCCCTAGAAACCAATCTTTCCTTGTATCTCTTCGACGTCACTCCTTCAATTCCTTCCTTAACTTTGAAAATCCACTTACAACTGACTAACTTGACTCTAGCAGGTTTCTTGATCAGTTCCCAGGTGTTGTTATCATGAAGAGATTTCATCTCATCATCCATGGTCTTCAGCCATTCAGTCTTCTTTTGACTCCTCATAACTTCCTTATAGTCTCTAGGTTCTTCGTCTACAAGAATAACAAAGAAGACAAGGTAAAACAACAAGGAACAATAAGGATTGGTTATAAACTGCTATTCTTTCCTTACTCTTAGAACAAGATTACAAGTATACAAGAATAACAAAATAGTCTCTCTCTTTTGAAACTAGGATTTTATCGTCCTATTTTTCCTTATGCCAAGATTGAGAAACTAACATCCTATTTATATGAGAAATAACACACTAACCTAATGGGCTTTTTAACAATTATCTATTACAAGCTAACTTAGGGTACAAGCTACATTAAACACTTGGGCTTACAAGAAAGGCCCAATCCACTATGTTAAGAACCTAACAATATTGACTAATGCATGTTAGAACAAACTTCGACTACAACACGCATTATCTTCGACAACAACATGCGAACAGACTTCGACCTCATGCTTAATTCTTGTCGAACCAGAAGCTATCATTCGATCATACTAGAGTTTGATCCAACATCTCACAGTTATAAATATGAAGACTTGATCATTTATAAGTGGAAGAACTCATACACATATCACCTTAAAGTTTTGAGTGAGTATGTGGTGTGTCTCTCACAAAGGTGTGTTGCTCATAAAGAAAAAACTCCAAAGTAAAAATGCTCATTTATGTTGACCCCCCCAAATAACCCTAATAATTTTTTTACTAGGAAGCATTGAACATTATAAGACTTCTTTTTAGAGCAACACCTTTGTGAGAGACACACCACATATTCACCCCAAACTTTAAGGTGATATAAGTGTGAGTTCTCTCACTTATAAATGCTTAAGTCTCCACATTTTTAACCAATATGGAACTATTACCCACATTACTCGCACTTACTACATTCTCAATAATATGTTAATTTTAAGGCGTACCCATGAAGATGAGACTTTTGATGGGTGTCAGACTAGCTTAAACTTTTTTATTATGTTAAGCCAATTTAAGTTTTTTCTATATATATATTGTCAGACTATGACATGATTGTCTTTAAGAAAGACAAGTTCTAAAGTCTATAAATGTGTTCTCTAACCTTGATTGAACAATAAAGTGAATAAGGTGAATCATTTATTTAATATAAGAGGTGCAGGAAATCTAATCTGTAAGGCTTGAAATGTTTCGATTATTGACTTAAAATATGTCTCTCTATAATATACAAGTAGAAGACGCAGTAAGTTTGCCCACATAACTTATTTGACTATTCTTGTGTTGCTTATCAATTGAAGCGTATATGAACCAAGGACGTGATCTTCATTGAATTTATTGAATAAATAATACTCTTTTCGTTTCAAAATGAAGGTCGTTTAAGATTTTTATACATAGTTTAAGAAATGTAATGATACTGTCATAAGATATTGTAGTTTTACTAAATTAGTCTTATTAATGTATTAGAAATAGTGTACAGAGTAATAATTATATGACACAATTGGAAAAATAATAATTATTACTATCTTAAAAATTGAGAACGAGTGTCATTTTAAAGTAAAATTTTTCCCTAAACTTTTGAAAAAGAGTATATGAGATACATAATTATTCAATAAATCTAAAATTATTCTTGTTTCTTATAATATTGATTAGAGAGAGTTATATTAGAGCCCATTAATTATTCACTTAATTTGATTACACATTATTGATTTGTGAGAAAGAGATATGATTTATATATTAATATAAACGAGGATAATTTCGGTATTGAAGCCTTTTTTTCCCCTCTCTTTGTTTCCCGTTCTTCTTACATTTCTCTGCTTTGCAACGAAAAACCCAACAAATGCATTCTCTGAAGTCTCATCGTGTACTATTCTCCCTTCGTTTATTGCTATCATCAACCCTCAAACCAAACCCTATCCTTATTCCTTCTTTCCCATTCTCCTCCTCTTCATCTTCTTCGTGGTTATCACAACCCGGAAACCCACTCATTCACTGGCCATCACTCCCATCAAACCAACCCAACCCCGCTCCAAACCCAAACCCAATTTCAAAACCCGACACTCCCACTTCCAACCCCACTTTCTCCCCCGACGATTTCTCTCTCATTTCGAACCTCTTCACCAACCCATCCATCTCTCCCGGTTCAGACCTCCACACCAAACTAAACCAAACCAGAATCAAACCGGATTCCCCTCTCCTCCGCGCCGTGTTCCAACATTTCGCCTCCTCGCCCAAATTACTACACTCGCTTTTCCTATGGGCCGAGAATCAACCCGGGTTCAGACCCGATTCGAGTCTGTTTGACTCGGTGGTTAACGCTCTTGCGAAAATGAGGGAGTTTGACTCCGCTTGGACTCTTGTTCTTGATCAAATTCATAGAGACGATGGAGAAGATGAGAAATTGGTCTCGGTCGCTACATTTGCCATCATGATTCGACGCTATGCTCGCGCTGGTAGTGTAAACAAATCTTTTTTGGATTAGGTTTTCAATTTACAATTTTTATTGCTCAAATTGAATTGTGTATTTGAATTAGGGTTTCGAGTTTGCATACTTGATTTTACATCAAAAACAACAAAACAAATCATTGTTTAGGGTGACAAAACCATGCAATTTTTGATTTTTCAAACCGTTTAATAGTTTAATTTGAATTTTGTTAGTCACAAGTGGGAGTGTAGTTTTGCCAATTATTCTCTTTTTGTAATGAAGGTTTTTTACTTATAAATTTGTAGGTATGCACAAGCCTGCAATTAGGACGTTTGAGTTTGCAAAAGATAATAAGTCAATTGTAGATACAGGATCAGAAATGAGTTTATTTGGGATATTGATTGATTCACTTTGCAAAGAAGGGTCTGTTAGGGAAGCTTCTGAGTATTTCTTTAGGAGGAAGGAGAGAGATCTGGGTTGGGTTCCATCAATTCGGATTTATAACATATTGTTAAATGGATGGTTTCGAGCGAGGAAACTCAAACATGCTGAGAGACTTTGGGAAGAGATGAAGAAGGAGAATGTGAGACCGAGTGTTGTGACATACGGTACCCTTGTGGAAGGATATTGTCGAATGCGCCGTGTTGAAAAGGCGCTTGAGATGATTGGCGAAATGACCAAAGAGGGAATTGAACCAAACGCAATTGTATATAACCCTATAATCGATGCATTGGCGGAAGATGGGAGATTTAAAGAGGCTTTGGGTATGATTGAGCGTTTTCATATTTTGAAAATAGGTCCTACTCTTTCAACTTACAATTCTCTGGTGAAGGGTTTTTGTAAGGCAGGAGATCTTGAAGGTGCTAGTAAGATTCTAAAAAAGATGATAAGTAGAGGTTTCCTTCCAATCCCCACTACCTATAATTACTTTTTTAGGTACTTTTCAAGATGCGGAAAAGTTGATGAAGGAATGAACCTGTATACCAAGATGATTGAATCTGGACATACCCCGGATCGTCTAACTTACCATCTTGTGTTGAAGATGTTATGCGAAGAGGAGAAGTTAGAGTTGGCAGTTCAAGTTAGCAAGGAAATGAAGCATAAGGGATGTGACATGGACTTGGCTACGAGTACCATGTTAACTCATTTGCTATGCAAAATGCATAAGTTGGAAGAGGCTTTTGCAGAATTTGAGAGCATGATAAGAAGAGGAATAGTTCCTCAATATCTTACATTTCAAAAATTGAATGTTGAGCTAAAGAAACAAGGTATGACTGAAATGGCTCGAAAACTTTGCCATTTGATGTCTTCTGTTCCACATTCTTCCCACTTGCCAAATACATATGGTGAAGTCAGAGACAATGCACATGCACGTAGGAAATCTATAATTCAGAAAGCCAAAGCAGTTTCTGATTTGCTGAAGGACCCCAAAAAACTTGATAAGTTTAGAAGTTCATCGGAAGATGCTGTCTCAAGTGCAAACTGTTTGATAGAGGATATTGAGAAAAAGACGGATGTAAGATGAAAGATTCACTGTGCTATTAGCATGCTTCACAGCAGTAGTCACTGAACTTATTCACTGTTGTCTAACCAGCAATATCATATGAAAACTTAAAGGAGTTCTTTATACAGAAAATGGCTTCTTGTAAGCAAAATTTTGGATATTTATCGATGGAGGTGGCCAGCAACTGGAGTTAAATTAATAAGTTCCCTTGGCCTTACAGAGGTTGTGACTTGATTAGTCTTTGTTTTTAGTTGGAGCCATGCATAATCCAGACGATGTGATTAAATATTACTGCATTACTTAGCATTTATGTTGAGATAACATTTTCTTTTTTATTTATTTATTTAAAATTTGTAAATTTTACTTGCTAGGAGAAAAAGAGATCATTAACATAAACAATTGTCTTGTATTTTTGAAAATAATAAGAATGTCAAAAGAATTATTTTCGACATTTTAAAAAATGCAGCATTCTAATTTTATATTTTTTTCTATCACAATGATTCACTTTATAGTTTTTTTTAAAATGATTGATTTATAAATATCAATAATTTACTTACATAAATATGTTTTAAAAAAAGTTGATCTGAAAGAATGAACTCTTTTACTAACAACACACTCTTTAAATGAATGCATACTTGTTTTCTCTTTGCTAACAAATAAAATTAATACAAATAAATAAATAAACCCATAAAGTAAAGCTTCATTTTAAAATGTTAGTCTATTCACCACAAAAACTTCAATACAATAATTCTGCAATTATAAATACAATAATTCATATAAGAGATCAAATATAATAGTTTTCAATTAAGCCTTCAAATATGTAGGGTATCCTTAAAATAGGAGAGGATAGCATTTATTTCTCTTAAACATATTAGTATGATTTAATAAAAAAATTTAGGTGAGTGGATCTTAAAATTTTATCAAGATCAAGTTTGGTCTTAATATTCAATGAATGTTACCATAAATATTTCCATATCATCCACTAATAAAGTTTTTATGTTGTTAAAGAGAACTAATTTGAGTTTTTTTTTCTTTCTTTCAAAAACCATCTACTATTAATTAGACCAACATCTATTGTGTACTGATAAAAAGTATAGGTGTGGTTCTCCTGCAAGAATAGGGGATTTAGTAGGTATATTATATTGTATGGTGGTTATGGTTTGCAACAATAGCGAAAAATTTTATACGGTAGTTTTAGGAGACCTGTTTTGCGGATGGTCGTTACACTTAAGTGTAAACGTATGAGAGGTGTGATCAATATGAGTTATGATCTATCCCTTCTTTCTACGAGGGATATATATTTATAGAGGTTTTTTGGGCTTAGGGTCTGGGTAACCTTGAGTGGCTACAACTGTTTCCTCCTAGTTAGGATGAGTTGTTGACCACCTAAATTTTAGGGAGTAATAATGTACTCTATCTTCTTTGACTAATGACGTAACACACGTCATTAGTGTTAAGGGTGAGTCCTTTAGTCACCGCCTTTTGGGCGAGGGCATCCTAGTTTAGGATGCTCACAAATATAACATTATATAGTCACTCATGCACGAGGACTTTTGTTAAGGTCAGAGTGTTTTTAAGGCCTTTTCATTTGAGGTATGCACATCGCCTATCTAGTGAGTTCCTTGTCTGACGGAGACTATGTATTAAAGGGAAAGTCCCTCAGCTTGGGGCGAGTCCTTCAACTGAAAGCGACTATTATTAAAGGGCGAGTCCCTCAGCTTAGGGAAAGTCCTTCAGCTGAAGGAGACTATTATTAAAGGAAGAGTCCCTCAGCTTGGGGCAAGTCCTTCAGTTGAAAGACGACTATTATTAAAGGGCGAGTCCTTCAGCTGGAGAAAACTATTATTAAAGGGTGAATCCCTCAACATGGGGTGAGTCCTTTAGCTGAAGGCGTTTATTATTAAAGGGAGAGTCCTTCAGTTGAAGGTGACCTTTTTATTTGTGTAAGCCCTTAATTGAGGGATAAGTCATCTGCCAGATGTCTCATGATTAGCTAAAAAATGTTAGATGTGGATGTTAATTAATCACCTAGCTTGTCACACTTAGTTTCATTTAATGTAAGCAGTGATGACCTGTTTTTCGAGACCTTAGTCGTTAGTGGTACGTGTTAGAAATGTGCTGAGTTTTCTTCAAAACTATGGGGGAGTTCAAAAGATCCTTCATGGTTTCCACTCCTCTATAAAAGATTTCCTCTTTCACTTTGTTTGTTCTATTTCACTCTCTATTCTTGCAAGCTTGCTTGAACTATTCAACCTCACATATCTTCATTCATAACCTTCTTCCAGGTATGCATCTCTCTTTCTCTTACTTCCTGTAGCAAATAGGTTTTACTAAGATACATTCGATATATAGTTTAGGCTAAGCATAGAGTTCTATGTTAGTTGCTCCCCTTTTTGACGACGGTGGTGGTGATTTCTCTTTGTTCCACTATTTTCTCAAGAACAAAAAAGATAATGTATACCTCCTCCGTCATGTCCAAGAATGTCATAGATTTTATATCTAGTTATACTTCTACTAAACAGATCCTCCATTTTCGATCAGAAGTTGAGGTTGTTTTTTCAGAGGATGAAAACCGAGTCATTCTGGAGGCTTGTTTGCTCTTAGAGAGGGTGATCACGTCTGTCTCTTCCCATCCTTATTTCCCATACTTATACTTTTATGTCCCTTTCATCAAGGATATGTGGGTTCTTTTCCCCCTTCCCCCTTTTTATGGAGGTCTTAAGGGTCCTCAATGTTGCTTCCTCCCAACTGTTCCATAACATTTGGGGTTATATTAAGGCTTTTGAGATGGTTTGTAAGGACCTAGATATTACTCCGATCGTGGGAGTATTTTTCTTCATCTACATCACCAAACCGGCGAAGGGCGCGTTGGTGTCTTGAGCACTCAGACTTGGAATGCCCTATTTATGTCTCATTCCAATCATTATAAATATCGGAAAGACAAGTATGTACATGTGAGGGGAAAGATGATTTCGTCATGTGTTAGGAGTTGATGGTGCCCCCTCTTTATCTTATCATTGACGAATGATCATGTGGGGATTATGCGATAGGACTAGGAATTCCTTACCCTCGAGGAGAATATGATTATTCTCCTTTTGTGGCAGTTTGATGTTATGGATTTTCATGAAGTGATTAGGCTCTAGTTGGGAGGCGACAAACAGCTTACCTCCTATTTAGGTAAGTCGCATACCGCTTTTCCTTTGTTGGGAATTTTAGACAGGATATGTGATCTTTACTTGTTGTTTTGCATATCAGATGTCGAGGATTTCTGCTGAGGAGAGGAGGTAGAGGTGGAAGACGCTCAAGGGTATTGGTTCGGGAACCAACAATCCCCAAAGTCACCATGTAGGGTTCAATGTCAAGGGAAAAAAGGAAAGTTGAGGACCCAACTCCCAACTTGCCCAACATGAAGGCTCAAATTATAGAGGAAGGTCCTTCTCTTACTACGGGGAAGACGCGTACTCAGGAACCCTTTGCAGGCGAGGATCTTATGACTTTATGGAGCAACGTTGGTTTTGACACACTTAGATTCAAGAGGTCTCACCTTCCTTTCTTCAAAGAGTCCCCTGCTGATTATCAGGACCTTCATACCCAATCGGCTTCAGCCATTGTGAACATGAGGTCAACCAGGAAAGGCGCAAAAAAGCTGAGAAAGAGGTGAAGGTGAAGATCCAGGATTAGATGGATGCCTATAATGAGAGCTAGATGTCACTATAATCTCTCTAGAAAGACAAGGAAAAATGGGAGGAGAAGATGGCAGATGTAAAAGGAAAGGCCAAGGAAATCTCTGATGAGGGGCTATGAAAATCCTCGGATGATTGTCTCCTTCATGAAAAGGAGTTGGAGAAAGAGGTGTCGAAGCTCACTGACGAGGTAATGTCTACTTCTGGCGTCTATTTCGAGTGTGCCAAAGAAAAGATCCTCTTCATCTACCCTAACCTAGATTTGAGCCTTATGGACTTTCTCAAAATTGTTCGTGGCAGCAAGCAAGTGGATGAGGAGGCAGTGGCCTCTTAGGGGTTTGAGAATCCTAACTCCCCTATGAATTCTTAGTGCGAGGGTCAGGTGAAGGAGGGTGGTGAGTTTGGAGACTCTAAACCAAAGAGTTTCGTTGAGAATGAGGTGCCTCCGGAGAAAAAAATGATGGTTGTCTTCCCAGCCCTTAATGGATTTATATTCATTTGCCTTTTTTTGGAATTTTTGTTGCACTTATTTGCCCATTTTGGAACTTTTATAATTGTAATGAACATGCGAATCCCCTTGGAGACTCCTTTTAAATTAATACCCTTATTGCTATCTTATTCTGTAATTATATGTGTGACTTTAAGCCTTTAGCGTTTAATTGAGGGTATATGTCATCATCGCCCCTTTTGCAATAATTTAATTGCTCGTATAGGGACTTGACAAGGATTTCGTTTTAGGGTTCGACATTGTGGTTGTCTCTAAGGATGTTAAGGATCTTGCTTGAGGATCCAAATAAATGAGCGTCTATAAGGGAGGCAAGAATCCCACTTAAGGATCCAGCTAAATGATTTCTTCTATGGGAGGCAAGGATCCCACTTAAGGATCCAACTAAATGATCACCTCTATAGGCGACAAGGACCCCACTTGAGGATCCATATAAATGATCTCCTCTATGGGCGGCAAGGATCCCACATAGGAATCCAACATAATGATCACCTTTATGGATGGAAAGGATCCCTATTAAGTATCCAACTAAATAATTGCCTATATGAGTGGCAAGGATCCCACTTAGGTATCCAACAAAATGACCACTTTTATGGGAAACAAAGATCCCACTTGAGGTTCCTGCATAATGATTGCTTCTTTAGGCGGCAAGGGCCCCACTTGAAAATCCATCTAAATGGTCACCTCTATGGGTGGCAAGGATCCCATTTAGAGATCTGACATAATGTTCACCTCTATGGGCGACAAGAATCCCTCTTGAGGATCCAATAGAATTATCGTCTCTATGAGGGGGTGTGATCAATATGAGTTATGATATATCCCTTCTTTCTACG